AATTAATTTGTTCCATAATTTTTGTTGCGAATTATTGCTATTATTATGTAGAATTGCCTCTTTTGAGGTGCTGTTCATTTTGCCTCTTTTGAGGTGCCATTATTTTTTTGATGTGTTTTTGAGGTGGAATTCGATCATGTTATGGTGTGTCTGATTCTAGTTTTTCATGATTTGCTTATAGTTGGCGACCTCGTTGTTCTGTTATTCATTTGTTTATTGATTGATTGCTTTGCTATTTCTGTAAATTTTCACATATTATGATTCTTCTATGAATATTTTATTCAGTTTATCCATGATTAGTGTTCATTTTTTCTTATGCACTTTTTTTGAAATTTCTACGATGGATAAGTTGATCAGTCAATTATTTTCCATGGTAGAAATTCCAAAAAAAGTGCATAAGAAAAAATGAACACTAATGATGAATAAATCATGGATAAACTGAATAAAATATTCATGGAAGAATCCTAATATGTGAAAATTTACAGAAATAGCAAAACAATCAAACAATAAAGAGATGAATAACAGATCAACGAGGTCGCCAGCTATTAGCAGATCATGAAAAACTAGAATCATAGACACTAAAACATGATCGAATTTCAGCTCAATAACACATCAAAAAAAGAATGGCACCTCAAAAGAGGCAAATGAACAGCACCTCAAAAGAGGAAAATGAACAGTACCTCAAAAGAGTCAAAAAATAATCACACCTCACAAAACAGTGCCAAAAAAAAAAAAACCAATGTGAACATGCCATTCATGGTAAAAAGTCAAAAAATGCAGAAATTTTAAGAAAAAATAAGAAACTGGACAACAAACATGTGAATGATTCTTCAGTAAAATGAGTAGAATAAACCAACTTAAACCTGTTAAGGTTGGACATTGATATTCCGTACGTATAATCTCTTTAAGATTTGGGTATTCTTGACAGAAGAACCCTGTTAAACTTCTAGAGGGAGATCAATGATACCTCCAGCCATAATGTCGAGAGATAGACCAAAATCAACTCAAAGTTCTAGAAAGAAACTCAAACTCATCTGAAGATTCAATAAAATCTAGAGACAACGCAAAATGAGGCTGAGCAAAGCCAGTCTCAGAAATTGTAGAGAGAAAAACAAAGAGACCAATACCAAGAGAGAGAAAGAGAGATGTATAAGCGTACCTATTTTCCCCCGTCCAGAGCAAGAGAGTAGGGTTCGTGGCTGGAGAGAGCGACAAGGAGAAAGAGGTCTGGGCAATGAGCAGAGAAGTTGCAGGGCTGTGTCTCTGTAAGCCGATGTGGATTGAGACTGGGGTTTTAACCTCCGTGGGGCAATTGAATGGTTTTAGTTTTAGGGCTCCCTTGAGTTCCTATTTTCTCACAAAGTTGCCGCACGTGGGGCAATTGAATGGGTTTAGTTTTAGGGCTCGCTTGAGTTCCTATTTTCTCACAAAGTAGCAGCGCGGGGTCCCTATGGTCCGCCACTTTACTCAAAGGAACAGTCAAATCGGGAGTTTCCACTTTCCTCGAGTTTACCTTCTCAGACATGAACCTTCAACATGAAAAGATATATACTTCCCCTACATCCAGCCGTCCAATATACATCAAGGGAGCTATTAATTATTTAATCTAGATGAAACACTTCGTAGTATTTTATTTTTAATTTTTTAAATATTGAATATGAATATGAAATTTATTATGTGTCATCACCTCAATAAGGAGCACCTCAATAAAATATTAAAAAATATTTTTAATAAAATATAATGATCAAAATACTTTTGAAACTTTTAGAAACATTTTTGTCATTTTATTTTATTATTAATTTTTTTTTTTTTATTGGTGCGAGTTCAATAGAGGATTGGATGCCCAAGGTGTAAAAATGTTTTGTATAAAAAAAAAAGAAAAGTTTATATCAGGGTTTGAAAACTCGACGAGTCGAACAGAACTCGCCCGGTTGGACTCGAGAATCGGCTGAGGGAGTGCCGGTTCCACTACAATACCGGGAATTGCCCTTGTCTAGAGAGAACCGGACGATTCCCAACAAGGAATTGCCTGTTGAGACTCGTCCAATAACACGGGCTGCACAGTGTTCTTCACGATTTTCATGGTTTTTTGTCATTTTCTTATAATTTTTCATCTTTTTCAGCTTTATAATCGAATCTTGCAGACTTTATTTTAAATTTTTCAACCATTTCAGTCAATAAAATGTAGTAAAAATCACTGATTTTGATCAAAAAAACTTGGATCTGTGAAGAACCCTAAAAAAGTTTTAGGGTTCCATCATTTCTTTGATTTCAAGCAAAAGATGGTATCATTTTTGCTAAATTTTGAGGGTTAATGATCGTAACAGTGTTGTTCATACAATTTTGTTCATAATTTGTGAGTATTTTGGACGAATACATATCAACTTTGAATTTGAAGCCACGGGTGCATGAAAAACAGGTAAGAAACACGTTTTTTTTTTTTTTTTTTTTCCGCCATCTATCAAATTCACTCAATATTTTACAAATAATATATTAAATTTATAGGCTTTTGATTCGTTATTGTTTATCATCACATGTATTCAATTTGATTATATTTATTCAATTTGAGTTTGATTTTTGAGAAAAAAACTACTGATGTCTATGAAAAAAAAATGGATTACGTTTTTTGTTTTTTTTTTTTCCGCCATTCTATCAATTTCACTCAATATTTTACAAATAATATATTAAATTTATAGGCTTTTGATTCGTTATAGTATGGTTTATCATCACATGTATTCAATTTGAGTTTGATTTTTTAGAAAAAAAGATTGATGTCTGTGAAAAAAAAAATTACCGAGTTTTTTTTTTTTTCTACCATTATATCAATTTCACTCAATATTTTACAAATAATGTGTTAAATTTATAGGGTTTTGATTCGTTATAGTCTTGTTTATCATCACATGTATTCAATTTGATCTGATTTATTCAATTTGAGCTTGATTTTTTAGATTTAATGACTAATGTCTGTGAAGAACTGCGTTTTTTTTTTTTTTCCTCAATGTTATTTAGTATTTTGATAATAATGTGTTAATATTATAGGGCTTTTATTCCTTGTAGTGTTGTTTATCAAAACATGTATTCAATTTGATGTAATTTATTCGATTTGAGGCAGATTTTTTAGTTGGAATGACTAATGTTAGGTGGGTCTGTGAAGAACTACGTTTTTTTTTTTTTAATTCATGATCAATTTTTTTGAAAAACCTTGATTTTTCAAAAAATTGTGACCAGTTTTTTATTATCATGAAGAATTAAACAATATTTTTAATTTTTATTGTTAAATTTTTAGTTCAAAAATTTGCATATTGATAGATTATTTATGCAAAAAAATACATGTTATTATATTTTTAATGCAAAACTGTATTTTTTAATTTGTTGTTAATGCAAAAAATACATTAACAAATACATGTTGTTAAACTGTATTATATTTTTAATGCAGTTTTGCATTAAAAATGTATTTTAATTTTTTAAAAATTTTAATGCAAAAAATACATGTTTGTTAAACTGTATTATCATGAGGAATTAAAGTGAATATCATTGTAAAAAAATCGTCGCATGTATGATAATTATATTATCTTGCATTTCTCAATTTTATTATTAAATTTTTAATGCAAAAGATGTATGTTCTTGATAATTGAGTTATAGCTATATTTGGAACTTGCATTTTTTATTATACTATCTTACATATTTGTAATTGAGATATACGACTATTTGCGATCATTTTAATTAAGTTGGGATTGTGCCCACTATATCATTGTAAATTTTATTTGTGGCATTGTGAATGATTATATTATTGTAAATGTTTTGTGTCAAATATACGTGCAGTGGCATTATGGATTACTATATTATTGTAATTTTTTTTTTATTCTAAGTGTGACTTATACAGACTTTTTTTTTATCTATTGCATAATTTTTTTTTTTTTCTCAGTAGGAACTAATTCATGTTTGTCGAAATGAAGATTTGTGACAAGTCCATATGTATTGGCATTGTGAATTACTATACCATTATAAATATATTTTTTATTGATACTATATCAATGTAATTTTTTTGTTCTATATGTACTGGCTGATATAGGCTATTTTTATATATAATGTTACATAAATAAATTATTTTTCCAATAGGAACTAAAATATTTTTGTCAATAGAAATATTTTGCATTAACAACAAATATAATTTCATTAGTTATCCCTATATATCATCACTACACATGGTGATTATTTTTCATGTTGAACTGTCAGGTTAATTTTTAACCATTTTCATATTAAAACAGTTGAACCATGGCAAGATCTACGGAAGACCCTGCATGGCAACATGGGGTCAGACTTAATTCCAACAAAAAAAAACAAAATTATTTGTTATCACCGCCAAAGAGTGATAAGTAATAGGGTACATAGGTTCAAGCAACACTTGGCAGGGGTTAAGGAAGATGTTTCTGCATGCAATAGTGTTGTAAGAAAGCAAATGGCGGCATTTCTCATGGCTACCAAAGGTAAAAAAATTGCAAAAGAAGATGATGGATGAAGAGATAGCTAGTTTATATGCGCCATCAATCGGGAATGATCCAGAAGAGCAATATAATACTGACTTAGAGATGGCCACAAGAATGAGTTTACAGGAAACATACCAGAGGGAACGCGGGTTTAGAATGCCTGGTGATTATGACATAAGCATGCATGGTGGGCTTAGCTCAGACATGCATGGCGGACCCAACTCGAGCATGTATGATAGGCCAAACTCAAATATGTATGGAGGGGTTGGTGGCAATATGTATCAAGAAGAATCAGATGTTGAAGAAATTGTTTCTAGCTTATCTAACAGTGCTAATATTGCATGTCATAGTGGTATATACCCATTTCTCTAAAAGCCTAAGTCAAAACAAATGACCCTCAAAGGCATGACGAAAGGTACGAGAAACATGTTGGGCAGATATATTGGTAAGTGATACTACGATAAAGGGATCCCCTTTGATGTAGCTAATAGCCCATATTTTTCACATATGGTCAACGCAATCCAGAGAGCCAGGCCCAGGGTAAAACCCCCGATGGCATATGAGCTCAGTGGGCCAATATTGGATGAAGATGTGGAAGAAGTTAGAAAGTGGATTGAATAATATAAATAGAGTTGGCCAATAATAGGCATTACTCTCATGAGTGATTGTTGGTTGAATAAAGTTAGCAAAAAGGAGTTTTTAAACTTTTTGGCCTATTCCCCAAAATGTACAGTTTTTTTGTCTAGGAAAGACGTACCAGGGATGAAAAATGATGCAAACTTCTACATACAACTATATGATCATATAGTAGAGGAGGTGGGAGATAAGCATGTAATCCAATTTATTACGGACAATACGCGTGCATGTGTTTCTACGGGCAGCAAGTTGATGAATAAGAGGAAGCATCTAGTATGGACCCTATGTGCACAGCATCGATCTTATGTTAGAGGAGATCAGTGAGATCAAAATTGTGAAGGAGACTCTACAGGAAGCAAGGTTGGTGTCAAGATTTATATATAACCATTATAAAATTTTATTTTTGTTCACATAACAGTCTAAGAAAAAAAAGATAATTAGGCCTGCCATACCCCGGTTTGCGACAGATTGCTTGGCTGTGGACTCCATTCGGGAATATGAAGGTGCAATAAAGAGATTGTTTATCAATGAAGAGTAGTTAAATGACCGCCTCTCGAAGTCCAATACCGGGCTAAAAGTTGACGGTATTGTCTCAAATATGAGGTTCTGGTCTCGATGTTCCAGTATCGTAGAGGCCACTGCCCCTTTGGTCACAATGTTAAGAATGGTGAATGCTGACAATAAAGCTACCATGAGCATCATTTATGAAGGTATTGAGAGGGTCAAATCAGCTATTGGGGAGAAGTATAGTTTTGCTAGTAAAGTGATTGAGATTATAGAAATAAGGTGGAACACCAAATTTGGACGTCTAATTCATTATGCAGGTAAATATATATTTATATCATTAGAATGTTTCATTCTAAATTATTTTTTTATGAAATTTTAAATGACATTTCTCTATCTATATATTTTCTAGGTTACTATTTCAACCCAAAAGTTTTCTATTTGATACCTGAACATCCCCACAAGATTGTGGTACCTGGTTTCAATGGCTTTTCTCCAACCTGACAATAATGTATCTGACCCCTACCATATTATATTCAAGAAACTAATGTCAATATCATTTTATTCTAGCAGCACTTACTTGTCCTTGAGATTTTATAAGTTTATACATAGGTCCTTTTCTTAAATGCATCAAAATTGTATATGCAAAGAGCAATATTACATTTTTTTAAAAAGACAAATATATATACTCGAGGGGGACG